GAGGCCCGAGGAAGTGCGAGCGCGGCCTCCAGCGCGTGAAGAGGGTGTTGTTGCCCGCCGTCGCGAGGTACTCGGGCGTGATTGTCGTCGGCACAGTCGCCGCCGCGGGGACCGCAATGGCCCCGAGAGACGCGATGGCCGTGAAGACGGCGCTACCTTTGAGAATTGCCATGCTGTGCTGTAGAAACTGGTAAATCCGCCGCTTGACGTCCCAGACATTCTGGACGGTGAACCGTGAGCGGTTCATCTTATATACCGCCAACCTAGGCGGCGCGCGTCAGACGATCCGACCCCATCCGTTTCCCATTGCACCCGGGGAAGAGGCTGTCAGGCAGGCCGTCGATACGACGTCAGCCAGGGCCGAGCCAAGATTGAGTCTCCGCCGTCAGACGCAAGGATACGGAGTCATGATCCCGGGCTACTGCGGCTCGGCGAAGCTGGTCATGACGAGTTGACGATGGCTAGTCGAAGATTGCCTACTATGGGCACACGAGCCAAGGGAAAGGTCGTTCCTTGGACTGAAGTTGCGGGCCGAAAGGAACTGCACCACGCGGTCGGGAAGTCGCTGGTATGGGGATGGGAATCGCGGGGCGGCCAAGCCGGACTGGAGACGCGCTACTCCGGCGGCGGTGGGTAGTGGCACTGTTGGTGGTGTTGAAGGAGGGAGAAATTGCGGGAGATGCGGAGTCGCGGGGGTCGGTCGGGACATAGTTCGCTGAAACTCCTCGTGCGGATGGACTGGGGGAGAAAGAAAACAAACGGGCTGGCCTGGGCGTTTGTTTCTTGGCCTCATATCGTGCTCTCCCATGCATGATAAGCAATAGCCCCAAGCATAGCTGGCACGTCTTGCGTTCCCCGAAAGTCTCTGTCCAGCCAGGGCTCATCGTCTGACTGGCCAGCCACTGCTGCGATGCAAGAAGAAGCAGACCGGTAACCCAAAAGGCGCGTAGCCAAACCGCCAACTCCAACATGGGCGCATGACTTCGTGGGGATTTGCAATTTCCAGCGGTGCTTTGCTCGCTGTTACCACACATGGGGGGACGCAAGGTTAAACGGCCGAAGAATCGCCAGACCAGCCCCGCCGCTAGATGGATCTCGTTGGATCTGGTGCGAATTCTGGGGGCTGTCACGCGCCATGCCGTTCCGACCTTGGTACATGTGCCACCACCCTGTTCTTAACTGCGTGTTGTTTGCGTCGTTCGTACCAGTCAATCGGGTGGTTTCTGGCCCAAGCTCGCGCTCTGTTCGGACGACTTCCACTGGGGCATTAGAGTTCTGCGGAGGCATTAAAATGAGTTTGCGGAGGCAGTGTGGGGGAATAGTGGGATGCAGAGTCAGGTTTTGTTGGTCATGAGCGCACGCATGAATGTTTCCAGAACGAATGCTAGTGAGCTGATGGCCATCGCGAGCTGTCAAATTCTCGCTATATTTCCGCCGGCCAGCCTCACCAGGTTTTGTTGCTAATGCGAAGCCGACCGGATCGTTCTGGAGTCGGTCAGTCGGCAGTCGACAATGATGAGGAATCACGCGCGGGACAGGGAGAGGGGGCGAAAACCCCCGGGTTTGCCGACGGAAGAACGCATCTCCGCAATCCTCTGATTTTTTTCCTTCTTCTCTCGTCAAGGGCGGAACTCTCAACAAGTGAAAAGTGCCGTTTGGCCGCAGAGTGTGCGCGAACCTAAAAGCTACAATCTCTGAGCTGTCGGTCATTTCCGCGATTTGGAAGCGGAATCCCGGTTTTCAATCGGTCGGGTGGGGCCGATGCCCGCAATTTTGCGCGGCCCGCATCACCGGGGCCGAGCGTCCAGTCTTCCGCTCGGCAATGCGCAAGCCTTCGCCGGATCGTCATTCCAAGTTCCGATGCGTTTCCGTATATTTGCAGACCAGGGGCGAGTTTCATCGTCGCAGAATTGTCGACTGAGCCAGACAGCTGGTTTTTTTTTTTTTTACTTGACCTTGGATAAGCAGGCTTGCGTGAACGCAATTTTCGAGTAACTAGCAGTCTAGCACGATTGTCAAAATCGTACACTCCGAATGGACATGTCTGTCATAGCTAAATGCTTTGGATAATAGATTTGTTCACCAAAACAAGTAGAAGCAAACCACCGGGAGACATACATGACAAATCGACACGCAGTCTTGAAAAGCCAATGGGGGCATGGGACCGCAGTCCACGGAGTCCACGGAGTGGACGGAGTGGAGCGATCTCATCTTTACAGACTCGGATAAAAGTTCAGAGCCTCATCATCATGAGTTGCACTTAATGGCACTCGGCTATGCAACCTGGAGATCATGACGGAGGAATGCTGCCTTACCCCGCTTGCTCGTGCCAGCGGATCTCTTATCACCCGCGGCGACACGTGGCTAGCATGGGACGTCCTGCCATCCCTTGGGCAAGTCCGACTTCTAAGATGCGTTCGACGTCTACCGCGACGTCTTGGATGTACCCTCAAAGTGATCACGGAAGATTGAGTACGCCATGACTTCCGCAGAACCCGAAACTATCATGCTAAGGACCCTCACCGAGGGAGCCCCCGAAGCAACACAAGAACCAGCTTCAAACGCAGTCTCCCAGTTTCCCAACATCCCAAATGGAGGCAGAGCCTGGCTCAGAGTCGGGGGCTCCTGGCTCATTTTCATGAACACCTACGGCATCGCGTCAACGTACGGGGCGTACCAGGCGTACTATCAGACCGAGAAACTCGCCTCAAGTTCGCCTTCGGCGATCTCATGGATCGGCACGACTCAAGTGTTTCTCCTGGGCTTCACCGGTATTCTCGCAGGTCCTCTGTACGACAGCGGATACATAAGAAGTCTGCTCGCGGCCGGTGGTTTCCTCGTCGTATATGGCTTCTTCATGCTCAGCTTGGCGGCGGAGTATGTTCACATAGTTCTCTCGCAAGGTGTTTGCATTGGCATCGGCAAGTAGCAATCATTCTTGGTACCTGATATTTATGGAGCTAACGCAGTTGTTAGGAAGTGGCTTGCTTTACGTACCTGGCGTCTCAATCGTTTCCAATGCCTTCACCACCAAGCGCCCCATCGCCACTGGCATCGCAGCAACCGGATCAGCCGTGGGTGGGGTCCTCTTCCCCATTCTCTTCCGGAATCTCGAGCCGCGCATGGGATTCTCCTGGGTCAATCGCATTTTCGGAGTCTTGTCACCTCGCTCTTCGCCCTAATCCTCCTCCGCCCAGATCCCATCCAAAGTTCTCCCCGCAGGCGCGGGGGCGAGCTGCTAGACTCCTCGGCCCTGCAAGACACACCCTACCTCTTTTTCTGCCTCGGCCTCTTCTTCGTCGAGCTCGGCTACTGGATTCCGCCCTTCATCGTCGGGTGCCTGAGTCTTGGGGCGCTCATCCTGGGGTGGATTGGCATCCGCGATGTGACGGGCATAACCATCTGGGGCGTCTCAGTCGGGTTCATGTCCGGGATCGCTGTCGCCTTGCCGAATGCTATTGTGCCGAGGCTCGCGCCGTATGCGAGCGTTGTCGGGGCTAGGACGGGGATGATGTGGTGTTTTGTTGCGTTTGCGGCGTTGATAGGGGCGCCGATTGCCGGGATTCTTGTTGATACTGCGACGAATGATTATAGTCGCGGTCAGCTCTTTAGCGGGTTGAGTATATGCTTGGGAGCGGCGCTGCTCTGTGTGCCAGCTGTCCACGCTGCTAGAAGAAAGGAGGAATAGGAGTTCAGGCAGTCTGGCATCACCTGGAATATTAGATGCTTTGGCTGTCATTTGATGAAACTAGACTCTTTTGCTTCCGGCGACAATATGCTTTTAAATGGAGCCTCGGATTTTCATTACTACGTAGTAAGAATTCTGTTCAGTGGACTGCGAGGAATGAACATCACTAGACTTAGCGGTAGGCGGGTTCTACTTCGGAAGATTTGAGTTTGTTTCTGTCTACTATGTTCTGTTTTCTGTTTGTATGTAATCAGCTTCACGTGAACATCCTTACCGCATTAAGAGACGTGCCGGCGACTAAAGAAAACCAACAACACTACCACATGCTCTTGCTGTATCTGTATCGTGAACAATCGTTGGCATTAGGTTCGGAACTTCTCCGCGACGGTATCAAAGGCAAGTGGGGGTGGAGACGAGGACACCGGGGATGCGTTTCAAGGTGAGCAGGGTTGTTGACAAACCAACCTCAAATCAGACAACATGAGAAGAAATTCATTTTTTTTTCCCTGTTTGAATGGAGTCAAGAAATACATGCATTTTTTCCAATTCCACGTCGTGATAGATGTGGATAGCGGTATCACCGGAGGTCTTGACATGTATTAGAAGATACTCGTTGGCTTTTAACTCTAGCTCGGAACAAGAACACAATATCAAAACTGAGTTGATTATTTTCAACCACTGCGCGAATATCTGAGCGTAACTTATTCTGGGTGAACGCTTTACCTTGAATTCCTCACCGCTCGACCGAGGTTTTCTCGCCCATCACCCCAGCCACCGAGCCAGGAACGGGATCGAACTGTCCAATCCTGACAGCACTCAGCTCCAACAACCCCACCATCGCCAGGCCCTTCTCCAATTGCCACGCCGTTTCCTCACCAGCTTCCCTGCCCCTCGGGTCAGGTCGGCCTCATTGGTGCAACTCTGCCTCGGAAAGTCGTCGGTGTCGGGTTAATGAGGGCGACGTGCGCGGCCACACAAACCCCTGCCATCTCCAAAACCAGAGCGCCAGACTCGCGAGGCAGGCGCGCCATTCCCCAGATTTCCCCCGCACCCATGGACCGAGTGTGGGACGGGGGGAAGGGTGATCCTCTGCGGGGATAAGTAGCGGAAATCGAGGATGAACCTCGTCTTCCTCGGAACCTTCTCCTGCTTTCGCTCACTTTTTTGTTTCTCTCCTGCAATGCGCGCGTGATTGTGTGCAGCTGGCCAAGGTCTCGAAAGCTTAAAACAAACTCGCATACAGCTTTGAAGCTTGTCGCAACGTTTCAACCAACCCAGCCATCCTCTTAGGGCTCACCAATAGCAGCGCAAGATGGGCGGCTTTCGCGCGGTCGAAGATCGGCCCACGCCGAAGGAGGTGTACAACTGGCGCCTCTACATCGAGTCTGCAATCATTGCGACAGGATCCTTGCTGTATGTTCCTAAGCTTTTTGGTTCAGGTTACTCGCAGAGAAGACTGAAGATAATGGGTCCTCACTAATGCTTTCTGCCAAGGTTTGGATACGACTCGGCGTTCATCGGAACAACGATCGCGCGAGCAAGTTTCGTGCGAGACTTCGGCATCACTTCGGCTATGTCGAAAGAGATATCGTCAAACATCACTTCGGCTTTCCAGGCCGGCGCCCTCGGCGGCGCGCTTATGTGCTTCTTCAGTATGAAGCCGTAGCTCTCTCGTCATGATGAACTTGTGCTAATACTCGAAGTCACGGAGTATGTCGGCCGTAAATGGGCCCTCATCATCAGCAATCTGGTCTTCCTCGCAGGCGCGATTCCCATGGTCGCTGCCACGAACGATTTAGCATCAATGTACGCCGGCCGAGCTTTGACCGGCTGGGGCTGCGGCGTTATCACTGCGACTGTGCCGTCCTATATCGCTGAACTGTCGATTCCCTCAATTCGTGGTATTCTCACCGGCCTGTTTGAAGTCACATACCAGACCGGCTCTCTCATTGGTTTCTGGATCAACTACGGTATTAACCAAAACATGAACCCGAACAGCTCCGCGTCCTGGCGCCTGCCCATGGCGGTCCAGCTCATCCCTGCAGGTGGCTTGCTCATCGGAGGCTTCTTCCTGCACGAGTCACCGCTGTGGCTTTACAGAAAGGGACGGGAGGAAGAGGGAGCAAAGGTTCTCGTAGCGCTCAGACATCTTCCGGAAGACCATCAGTACATGCAAGAAGAGGTGGAAATGATCCGCGCAAGACTTGCTGAGGAAGCGGCCGTCGCGAAGGCTTATGGTAACGGGTTCTGGGCATACATCCGTGGCTCTCTGTCTGAGCTGTCGCGAAAGGGCATGTGGAACCGCCTTCTGCTTGTGTTTGCTGCCTTCACTTTGCAGAACATGTCTGGTGCCGCAGGTAAGTTTGAAGCATTCCTGGCCACAGATATTCTCTGCATCCGTCGCGTTTCATGCCGAAATCGACAGTCTCTAACAAACTGTCAGCTATCAACTACTACTCTCCAACACTCTTCGGCTCTATTGGTATCTCCGATGTGGCTTTGTACACGGGAATCTATGGCCTAGTCAAGGCCGTTGCCTCTATCATCTTTTACGGAGCTCTCATCGACATTTGGGGTCGCCGTCGACCAACGATCATTTCTTCACTGGCGTGTTCACTTTGCCTGTGGTTTGTCGGTGCTTATGTAAAGGTAAGCTTCTTCTGGAAGATCACGAAATCCTGTTTTAGGCTCTAACAGCTTCAGGTCGGAAACCCGGCCCCAATCATTGCTGCAGGTGGTGAACTCTCGTCGTCCACTAAGTCTGGTGGCCAAGCTGCTACTGCGGCTATTATGGTTTATTCCGTCTTGTGAGTTTATTTCGTCTCTAAGTCGTAACTTAAGCCCTTAAATTGCATAAGGAATTAACATTCAGCTAACACGTGCTCCCCTAGTTGGTCTTTCGGTCTCAACGGTATTCCGTAAGTCGCGACTAAATGCAATTGCGTGACGGCAATACTAACCCCTCTTAGTTGGATCGTTTCGGCTGAGATCTTCCCCGGCGCCCTTCGAAATCTTACGGGAACCTTCGCGGCCTTCACGCAGTGGCTCATTCAATTCATCATCACGAAAGCGTTGCCGTACATTTTCAGCAGTCTAGATTATGGCGTATGGTTCTTTTTCGCCTGCTGGATGCTCACGGCGACGATTTGGGCATTTTTCTTCCTTCCCGAGACTAAGGGTGTCACGATAGATCAGATGGACACACTGTTGTATGTTCTCATCTGCTTCCTCCAAAGACTGTGTGCATCTCGGTGCAACTAGCTAACTCTTCAACTTAGTGGATATGAAGGTGATCGTCAGGTTCACAGCCAACAGGCGAAGGCGGATGATGGGAAGAGTCTAGACCAAAACATTCGCGAGGTTGACCGTGTCGACGAGGCGTAAGGTGCCTCAATTTAGCATTTAGAAGCTCTGAACACCCTTAAGGACATATCCGGAACTTATCTAAATGCCGCCGGCATATAGTTGGGATGACCCGGCGCAAGTGGGATGCAGCTTGCCGTATTTCCGACCACGCGTCACGCCGAAAGGGGGATGGTGTCCTGCCGCCTACACGTACTATGCAGCAAGCCTCAAATTATCGTCTCTTTGAGCGCCTTGAGAATGTTGCGCATGAGACAGGCGCGGGAAGTTGCAGTCCCGTTGTCCTGAGACTCAACGCTCGTTGATAAGCTCCGACTAGCGCCGGGGTGGCCCTCAACCTAGAACGCGCGCGCGCTTGAAACGGGGGGCAAGTGATGAGACGGTACGCCTTACTTACGGCTAGACCTGCTTTTGTGCTGGTTGACGCGCAATGAACAGGCGAGATCGGATTGACGAGTAAGGGCGTTTTAGTCATGGCTTGTGATGAGAGAATAATGCGAAGGAAAGTGTTTGACTCGTTAACGGAGCCGAGCGTTCGGAGAGGGATCGACGGTGCAGTGAACGGCACATCAGTGGCAGCTCTTGGCGACGGACCTTTCTTGGCGGTGTTGTTTGGACGGACGGAGATCATGTGGTAACATTGTCGTGAGCACAATCTTCAGACGATGATCGGTAGATCACCCAGGACATACCCCGGTCAAAGACACCAAGGGCTCAACGTCGGGCTCTAACCCCCTTGCCTAATTACTCCTTCCTGCATTGCAACGTCATCAGAAGTTAGCGGGCGATAAGCTTAATCCTCCAACATGGCTAAAACAACGATGAAAAAGAAGCTTAGGGCTTTCGGCACTAGTCAGGAGTTTATGTCGCGAGAATTATGTCAAGTCCCGATAGCTTAAACTTTCTTTACTCCACCTTGCCGCGGGGAAGGCGGCAACGCGGAGAAAAGGTGGAGGCCGGCCGCACGCCTCGCAGGGCGGCGGGAGCCGCGAGTAGCGTGTTTACAGTCTGCCAGACACCGGATGAGCATCCGCTACTCACTTTGTCCTGGTACGGATGTGGAGCCTCGTTTTCGGGGGCCCATGTGGAGGATGCCCTGTTATTCGTTTGGAGAAGCCCGGCGTAGGCCTCATGTTACGAATGCGGTCTGACGGACCACGCAAGAGGCATCTTTTGCCCTGATATGATCGCCCTGATCTGCAGAGTTCGTCCCAGTCGACCGGCGACTTTGTGGCACTACGGCCTCGGTAACCGGAATGAAGTGATTCTGCCCCCGTGACCTCCTTCTCTATGAGCAGATTCTGACTCTCACGACATGCCGCAGATCATCGTGATTACTTGATGCGGTGTAAACCTCGGGTTGTGCGAGGCGGCCGGATTTCAGATTGCTTTCTACTAGGTCATTGGGACGAAGCGTGACATCTTCAGTTTACTTCCCGCTTCGCAGAGAGCTATCACCAACTTGGCCCTAGGGTGGCTTCCATCTTGAATCCAGCCGAGTTTGTTTCCTCCTGCCTTGCTGCACCCTATGAACGGACAGGTTCGCGTCAAACAGCGCAATCGCGGCCGAGCGAGGGAGCCACGTATCTTGGCATCTAAAGTGGGATAATGTCCCGAAAGCTTAGAAAGGGAAAACGGCCTTGGCATCCAGGTTCAGCCCAAAACACATGTGCGGCTAAACTTTCTTCGTCTCGACTCCACCTAAAAGCTTGTCGCTTGTCAATACTTCCTGACTTCGGACGAGAGAGCGGGCGCAATCGCCGTGTGGGTTGCGACACTCCGGGAGCTTCAATCACGGAAGAGCGAAACGATCTCGAAAGCATCGCGGCTGAAGGACTTGGAGCCATCCTGCGGTGGATGATGGCCAGATGGCTCGATGTCCCTCGGACAACGGCGCATGTGCTCCTCCATTAGAGACGATGACTCGCAAATGGTGATCTCGGGACAGTCAACGGATTCTCTATATATATGAACCGGAAATCACCCATCTCCTCGGGGCTGCAATGCTATCCACATTAGATTATCACGTCTTTCACGTCTTGCATCCATCGGCTGGTCCCTCATCAAATAATCCTATTGGTCTATTATTAATACCATTCGGTCCTTCTTCAAAAGCTTTTCAAAATGCGTTTCACTCAGCTCATCCTCTCCATCTTCCTCTTCTTCTCCTTCGTCGCTGCCCTGCCAGTACCGGCACAGGCAGACGGAGAAGCTCTCGAGGCACTTGAGGCGCGGGCCAATAACGGTGGCAAGAAGGGTGGTGGCGGCAACAAGGGTAGCTCCAAGTCAACTTCCAAGGAGGTCAAGGGCATCGACAAGAACATCGGCATCCAGAAGGCCGAGTCCAAGGACGTCAAAAAGGTGAAGCAGGCCGAGGGAACCAAAAACTTCCCCAAGGAGAAGGCCAACCTTCAAAAGGATATCAAGGCTGGACAGAATCAACGCGCAAAGAACCAGAAGAACGCCGACCCCAAGAACAAGCAACTGAACGATGGCCTGAAGAAGGTGAGATACCCCGGAAATGCAAACGATGCGTTCTCGGTACTAATCTTGGAACTTTAGGTTCAAGGTGCCCAAGCCAAGGAGTCTAAGCAAGCCAAGGGCCTGACCGGCAACCCTAAGAAGGACAACGCAACCCTCAATAAGCTTGGCGGCGAGTTCAAGGATGGCCGCAAGCAGAATGAGAAGAACAAGCAAGCTGTAAGTCTCTACACATGCCCTGAGATAGAAGAATCTGAGACTGATGCAATTACAGGCCAAGAAGGGCGGCAAATAGATGCGAGACCGTATAGACGTGAACAGCTCTGTGGGAATCTACGGAATAGCTTCGTGCGGGATAACTTATGCCGGGATGGCGATGGTGGAGTTCAAAAGATGTAATTTGAGACAGTCCAGCGTCGAGGACCTCTAAAATGAGACTGCGCCGTGCGCTAGCTCTCACGTGGTGATATGAACTTGCTGGTGATCTCTGGTGATTGGAAGTTTCGAATATTTCGTCTCTGATGCTACCGTGATATTGCGAGACTGAGTAGCGGTAAGTGATCAGGCAAACCAAGCATTCGCAGGGCAGGTGAGATAAGTGTCACCTGACAAGTGAATTCTGTCTCAAGTAGCATATTAAACCATGAACCAAGCCTGCGATTTTAACCCATCATTACCTTTGTTGGTGTACAGTGTCTGCTCAATTTGGCATTGATGACCTTGAATCGTACTCCGAACCAATATGTTCATATGATCTTGTGATGTTGTATACAGTGAATTGCTTGATGTTTACGAAATTCGGCGATGGGAACCCCAGCTTGGCAAGCCCCAGTCCTGTTGGTGCTCAATCACACAGCACCAACAAGTCGACCCCCAGTTAATACGACAAGCCCCACGGAATACATCATTCTGTAAAATGTCGTCAGCTGACCCAGAAGAAAAGAGGTGATCCGGCAGTCGGGAACCATTTCCTCCACCGGTAGCTCCGTTCACAAACCGCGACATGGCGTCTTCTCGGCCGAACTCACATGCATCCTTCCAGATTCCTGACGACATCAGACGCCATGTAAATCCATTCTATGGCCGCAGGACTAATGGGTGTGATACGTGCGGCTTCAAGCCAGAAAGTAGCTCGAACCTAAGTCGTGAGCACGGCCTAAGAACCTGGACCCATGCTTCCCTATACTGCAACTTCTGTCATCTCATCGTCGCTCTGCACGATGAGCTCAAGAAAAAACACGCAATCGACTTTGCAGACCTTGAAAAAGGCAAAATCGCCGTGTACAGTCGCAACAGTCGCGACGGCCGCAAACAACTCCTCCTGGGCCCCAATATCCCGGACGTGAACACGCCTCCAGCTGAACGGGAGACAATCATCTTTTATAACTTTCCCGGTACGTTAATTATTTATGAAGGTTTTGCTGCAAGGGAACTTGGCATAAATGTACGTTGTACTTATTCTTGAACTAGATTCTCGGTTTCCGTGGAAGGGCATCCCTTATGACCGTGACATGTCGGACACTGCTGGCTCAGAAGAATGCCTCCTTCTCTTGAAACATTGGATGGAAAATTGCCAGGCTTCACATACCGATTGCCCACCTTCAGATCACCCTCTGCCGACCAGAGTCCTCGATGTCACCACCAGCCCCCCAAAGCTTGTCATCACGGCAAACCTGTCGCAAAAAGACGAAAAATACATCGCATTGAGCCACTGCTGGGGGCCGTCTCAGCCACTCAGAACCTTGAAGATGAACATCGGGCTGCATCAAGACGGGATCGATCTCAGCAGCATGCCACAAACCTTCAAAGATGCCGTCGCCGTGACACGATATCTGGGCATGCGATATATCTGGATCGACTCCCTCTGCATCGTGCAAGACGACGTCCTTGACTGGGAGTGCGAAGCCGCCAGGATGGCTGACGTGTATGGCTATGCCTATCTGGTTCTGGGCGCATCATCTGCATCTGACGGTACGAAGGGCTTCTTGGGCCGCCGCCATTACTCCAGGGGCGGCGTGACGGTTCCCTGCGCAGCGAGTCCGCGTAAATTCAGCAAAATCCACTATCGGCCGGTGTTGGACCACAGGAAGGCGCTGTTCTCCGCAAACTTTGACGGTCCATTGTCAGAGCGAGGATGGGCATTCCAAGAGAGGGCTCTGGCAAAGCGCTTCGTTTCTTTCGGCGAGTTCGAGCTCCAGTGGGCCTGTCGCTCGCTTGAAGATTGCGAATGTGACGAATTCGACCTCAGGAAATCCCAAGTAGGTATAGAAGGGGATAACAGCTGGAGGTTTAGGGGTTCGGTGGGAATACACGCCAAAGGAGACGGAATGTCGACGCAAGATGCCCATTATTTCCATCGTCAATGGAGGAAATCGGTTATCTCACCCTATTCAGGGCGTAAGCTTACCTTCCAAGCGGACAAGCTGGTCGCTTTGTCGGCGATCTCCCGAGTCTTCCAAGAGCGGGTGGACGACGAGTTCCTCGCAGGATTGTGGAGAAGGGAACTGGTTCATGATCTAAGCTGGAACAGATCTCGGGTAGAAGAGTCGAGGGAATGCCTTGGTGCGCCGTCATGGAGTTGGGCTTCTATCGACGGTGCCGTTTCCTGGTGGAAATCCTCCTTCGTTGAATCACTGAGACATATGGAGCCGTGCCAAGTTATCGAAGCAGAATGCACTGCAACCTTTCAGGTCAATCCCTTCGGGTCTATGGAAAGCGGATATGTCATCCTGGAAGGTCTTCTGATCAAGGCCACTGCAAAGTATCTCCACAATCCACCGCCGTCGCAGGAGGGCCGGCACTACTTTTTGACTGAATGGCCTGCTGGGGAGTTCTTCGTAGACTCGTTTCTAGGGACTGCCGATGTCGATCTGAATGGCGAGGCGGTCAACACTGCTGTCCGAGGCACACTTTCCAGTGCGCACCATCGACAAGAAGGGGTTGAATATCCTGTCTGGTGCTTTCTTTTGACCACGGGATACTTTGGGCGCGAAGACAAGTATGCTTACGTGCTGGTTCTCGGGAGGTCGGTCTGTCAACCAAGTGTGTTTGAAAGAGTTGGGCTGATGATTCTCAAGTTGGGCAAGGAATCATTGCCGAGCTTCCTTTCGCCAGGATTCTTTTCAAATTGGCGCAATGAAAGAGTTACCATCATTTAGTATAATTGTAGGGCACATGAGTGAAGAAAGCGTATAATTGAAAGTCTTGTTTATTCTATACTTATGATGGGATACCTCCTTGAAAAGCAACGCTCGCTACATGAATTTGTAAAAGACTATTAGAGTTTAAATCTGGACAGCTTATGTCCTCATTGATCTGTATTCATTCCAGGGCCGCACTCATTGGGTGGCGGGACCCTTTCCCTTGGACTCCTTTTTCGTCTTGGACGAGCCAGAGTTCCACTTCTTGACGCGGACAAGGTAGTACGACACAACAGCGACGAAGATGTTGAAGAAGATGAAGGCCCACATGATGCCAAAGTTGCGCCAGCGCTCGTCGTAGAAGATGTTGCTGCCGGAGAGGTACTGGTCAGCGTTGCTGAGCGAGCAGTACCGGCACGACTCGGTGGCGTCGGGGTTCTGCAGCTGGCCGGGCGCCATCTTGAGGTAGTCGGCGAGGTACTCGCCGCAGGTCTGGTTGGCGGGTGGGTTGAAGACAGAGGTCTCGTCCGCGGAGCAGGTGACTGGGCGGCCGTGCAGCTGGGTGGAGACGATGCCGGCGACCCAGTAGGTGAAGGGGGAGACGCGGTACATGAAGATCCAGAAGCCGGGGAGGGCAGTGGGAGACTGCAGGACACCGCAGAAGGTCAGGCTCATGAGAACGAGGAGGGTGACGACGCCGGAGGCGGTGAGGGCGTCGGGGAAGGCGGCGATGGTCATGTGCGCGAAGGAGGAGGCGTAGACGAGGAGCTGGATGGCGAAGAGCAGGACGGTGACCTGGCGGACGGAGCTCTGGATGCCGATGACCGGATAGTAGAAACAGGCGAAGATGAGGATGCCGGTGACGATCTGGTAGGGGATCTCGACGATGATGTTGGCGAACATGAAGGCCTTCCAGGAGTAGGCCTTGCTGGGGCGCTCGCGGACCTCGTAGAGGGAGCGCTGAGTGACGAAGTGAGGCTGGATCTGCTGCACGATGGTGGAGAAGATGGTGATGATCATGAAGACGGCGAAGACGACGTTCTGCATGCCGGCCATGGTACCGTTCGCCTTGTAGAAGGAGAAGCCGACGAAGAGGCCGGCGGCGATGCCGAGGACGAACTTGGCGAAGACGTAGTTGGGCATGCGCCAGTATTGCTGGAAGACGCGGACGGTGACCTCGGTGAGCTGGGTGGTGAAGGGCATGGCGAACTCGGAGTGAGCGCCAGCTTCCTCGGTGCCGGCGACCTGCTCGTTGACCTTCTCGAGGTGGATGCGCTCGAGTTCAGCAGAGACACCAGTGCGTTCTTCGCTCGACTTCCAGACGCTGTGCCAATCCTCTCCGCGTGAGTTGGTTCCGTTGTTGACAATCTCAAGCATGTACTCGGCAGGGTTCTCATCGTCGTCACACTTGCGAGCACCGTGGGACTCGAAGTAGTTCAGAAGAGTACGCGAGTTGTCGCCGATATCGCCAAAGTACACAGTCTTACCGCCACGGGCAAGGAAGAGGAGACGGTCGAATTGCTGGAAGAGGATGGCGCTTGGCTGATGGACTGTGCAGAGGACGGCTTGGCCGGCGTCGGCAAGCTTGCGGAGGAAGGCGCAGATGGCCCAGGAGCTCTGGGAGTCGAGACCACTAGTAGGCTCATCGAGGAACAGAAGAAGCTTAGGCTTAGCTGCGAGTTCGACGCCGATGGTGAGGAGCTTGCGCTGCTCGACGTTGAGGCCTTCACCGGGAACACCGACGACGGCGTCGGCGAAGTCGCGCATGTTGAGCATGTCAATGACCTCCTCGACGAAGGCGTACTTCTCCTCCTTGCTGACTGTCTTGGGCTGACGGAGCATGGCGCTGAAGCGCAAGCTCTCGCGGACGGTTGCGGTAGCTAAGTGGAGATCTGGGAGATGTTAGCAATCATGCGTGAGTGAGAGTGAGGAAGATGCTGCTTACCCTGCTGCTGAACGTAGCCAGTCTTGCGCTGGAAGCTGGCGTCGAGAGGCTTGCCGTTGACAAACATGTCACCAGTGATGACACCCATAGTAGTGCGCTGAGCGAGAACATCGAGAAGAGTAGTCTTGCCGGCGCCACTGACACCCATGAGAGCGGTGAGAGTTCCAGGCTTGACCCAGCCGTCAACGTGATCAAGTAACCGACGGGGCTCTCCCTTGATCTCAATGTCGTAGACGACGTCCCTCCAGGTGAAGATGTCCTTCTGGGGCGGGATGGAGCTAACGTTGGCTTCGGGCTCGCTGTTCTTGCTCTTGACCGGGACGGCCATCTCCTCGTTGGAAACACTGCGGTTGACGCCGTCCTGGAGGTAGGCGGGAACGTGGCCGCGCTGGAAGACGAGGACCTCGGCGGAGCTGGTGGTGGCGGAGTTGAGCTCGGTGGCGACGAAGTAGATGATCATGAAGAAGAACAGGAAAGCGAGCAGGATGCCGAAGTTCCTCCAGACGTGGGAGTAGTAGTACTGGTAGTTGGTGTTGATGAACGCGTCGCCACTAACAGTGCGCTGGCCAGCAATGGCGCCGACAGCAGAGCAGATCCAGGAGTCGCCGTTGAGCGGGGTGTACGAGGGGATGATTTCCGAGCAGGTGAACTCGCGACCGTGGAACTCGTTGGCGATGAGGATCTCGAAGGCGTAGAAGATGGGGTTGATCCATCGGATCCAGCCAAACCAGTCGACCATCTGGGGAACGCGAACGACGAAGCCAGTGTAGATGACAAGAGCCAGGACCAGGACACCAGCAAGCATCATGGCCTGCGACACGGTCTTGGTAATGGCAGCCATTGTTCTGAAGACGGCACTCATGACGAAAGTGGAGATGTAGGTGATCAGGAAGTACAGGAAGAACTGGCCAGGCTCGCGTCGCAGTCCGGCGAGGAAGTAGAGCACGAGGTTGAAGGTTGTTGCCGTGATGAACTTGATTGGGATGTCTGCGGTGATTCCAGCGATCGCTTCAGCGGCAGGATGGTAGAAGGCGTAGGAGGCGTGCTTTTCGACGATTGGACGTTGATCGTAGAGACTGTTGATCTCGGAGATGGCAGTGAGAGCGTTCATGAGGATAGCCTGGAAGAGAACAGAACCCTTGGCGTAGAAACCGGAAGTAGAGTCAGGAGTACCGTAGAAGACCGAGCCGATGATGAGAGCCATCATGAGGTTGATGACTGCAGATGTTGCTGTTGCCGACATGTCGTTCCATATCCTCTGGTAGGCGCGCTTGGTGGTCAGGCCAACTTGCATCGCCATGGAGATGGTGTAGGGAGACTTGGGGCGGACGTGCTTCGCCTGCCTCTCGTTCTTCATCTGCCGCATCTCGGTGAGAGCCTGACTGTTGGAGTCCATGGGGTAGGCCTCCTGGTGCAGCTCAATCTCCTGGCGGAGGGCGGCGTACTCGGGGGACTGACGCCAGTACATCTCAAAGTCCTCCGGCGTGCGAGGGACCTGGTTCTCCATACCCGGGCGGGCACGGCGCTCCTGGGGGTTGGTGACGGAAGTGAGGAAGTCACCGGTGGTCTGGCGCTGAGGGCACTCCCATCCCATGCGCTCGAAGTACGCCTTCGCGGCGCTGGCAGGGCCGAAGTAGATCTGGCGACCCTCGTAGAGGACGACGGCCTTGTCGAAGAGGTCGTAGATGGCCTGGGAGGCCTGGTAGATGGCGACAGCGTTGGCGCTGCCGGTGAAGTCGGACGCGAGGCGCAGAGCCTGGACGAACTTCAGGGCGGTCGCGGAGTCCAGGCCGCGGGTGCTGTTGTCCCACGCGCACATGGGGGATCCGGCGAGCATCATCTCGGCGATGCTGACACGCTTGCGCTCACCGCCAGAGACGCCGCGGACGAAGTCGTTGCCAACCTTGGTGTTGTAGGTGTGGCTGAGACCGCAGACGGCCATGACGATCTGGGCGGCCTTCTTGGACATCTCATCGCGGGTCATGCCCTGGAGTCTCTTGGAGGGTGTGCGGACGGCGGCGGCGAACTCGAGGGTTTGGCCGACGGTGAGATGAGGGAAGTGCTTGTCAACCTGTGAAAGATGCGTTAGCTAGATGTCAAAAATGAGACAGTGGATGAAGTGACAAACCTCTTGGTTGTAGACAGTCTCGCCCTTGAACTCCTTCACCATCCTCTTCTGAGGGATACCGTTGTAATGGATGACAGAGTCGTGCCCCAAGCTCAGACCGTGAAGCTCACCGGTCATGGTCTTGAGCAGGGTACTGCATCCGGATCCGGGACGGCCTAGAACGATCAGAAGCTCGCCGCTGTTGAGGAGACCATCAAAGCTGTGGAGGATTCTCTTCGGCTCCTTCTTGCCGAAGCTCAGGTGCTCGCCGATCCTCAGGGGCGCTGCGAGGAAAGAGCCCACGGTCTGCTGGAGCTGCAGTGCGGCACCTGTTCCGGAGACGTTGAGATCCTCGTAGGCGACACCGGCCTTCTTGATGCTGATACCCTCGTTGGACATCTGCTGCATGATCCTCTGCAGCCATTTTGAGAGGTCGAAGGACTTGCTAGTGGGGTCGAGGGAGGGATCGTTGGTTGCGATGTTGGAGAGTTGCGGCTCGCCGAAGCTGACGCCGCTCTGGCGCCGTGAGAGCGTGGTTGCGATTCTCTGAAGCTCTCTCCTGTCCTCCTCCTCAATCATCATGGTGTCGCGGTGGGTATCTCTCGTAGGGCTGGACAGGGTAGCATTGTCGTCTGATGAGTCGCCATTATTCTTGCCGGTGTTAATGGGGGCGAAGCCGGCCTCCCATTGATCTGATGAGGCTCTGCCGTTCATTGTGATTGAGGAGCCCGTTGAGTCTCGTGTGTCAGTTCGTTGTTGTGCCATGGTTGGGGGTGGTGTTGCCAATGGCTAAGCTCAAGTGAGCTTGGTATTATTAAGTAGTGTTTGATCTTTGAACAGTGTGGTTGGCGATCTGTGTGTTTGATGTTGATGTATTGTGTTAGTTGAAACGTTCACAGACGGTTACACTCGACAGTTGTTGATGAGATCTGGGGAAATAACAAGAACGATAGCATGAATGGGATG